ACTGTTGTTTGGCAGACCCAGGCTGGATTCAAACACGCCAGCTCAGGTGTATGTGGTTGGTGCCTTAGCCATTTGAGCCAAAGGTGCCCAGCTGCAGTATCTGTTCTTTTTTTTTTTTTCAGTTTTTAGCTGGGGCTGGGTTTGAATCTGCCACCTCCGGTATATGGGGCTGGCGCCCTACTCACTGAGCCACAGGCACCACCCACAGTATCTGTTCTTATCAGCAATTGCTGTGGGCTGAGTTGTATCCCCTCCAGTATTCATGCAAGGTCTGATAATGAAGTTTGCCAACTTGCCACTATCCCCTTATGGTGGCACACTGTACAAACAACTCAGGAACTTCATAACCTTGGTATATCAGCCTCTCACCCCTGTGTTCATGACGACGTGTGGTGGTGTCTTGCTGAGTGGAGTTCATTATTGTTGCTGCATGTTCTTATATGCCATTACAAGAATGTTAGAGCTTGATTATAGCTAAGACAAACGTTAAATATCTTGTTAAGCTTGGCAAAAATGGAAGTGAAATCAGGAACATGTTAGTCCAAGTTTATGGAGATGATGCTATGAAGAAAATGGTAGTGTAGGCTCGGTGCCTGTAGCTCCAGCAGCTAAGGCACCAGCTGAATACACCAGAGCTAGCAGGTTCAAATCCAGCCCGGGCCTGCCAAACAACAACGACAACTACCACCAAAATAATAATAATAATAATAACTGGGCATTGTGGTGGGCGCCTGTAGTCCAGCTACTTGGGAGCTGAGGCAAGAGAATCGCTTAAGCCTAGGAGTTGGAGGCTGCTGTGACCTGTGATGCCATAGCACTCTACCCAGCGCTTGAGGCTCTGTCTCTAAAAAAAAAAAAACAGAAAAGAAAAGAAAACAGCAGTGTACAAGTGGATTGAATGTTTTTCTGAGGGGAGAGAAACTGTCACTGGTGAAGAGAGGTCAGGGTGGCCAATAATGAGCAGAACTGACAAAATAATTGCAAACTTCATTGAATTATACATCAAAATCACCCGCTGCCTCTGAGAAGCACAGCAGACCAAGTAAACATTGATAGAAAAACAGGAAAGTTGGGCGGTGCCTGTGGTTCAAAGGGGTAGGGCGCTGGCTCCATATGCCAGAGGTGGCAGATTCAAACCCAACCCCGGCCAAAAAAAAAAATTACTGAAAATCTTGGCATGAGAAAGGTGTGGCTTTTGCATCACCTGGTGCATGACAATGCACCAGCTTGCACAGGACTATCTGTGAGGGAGTTTTTAGCCAGTAAACAAATAACTGTATTGGAACACCCTCCCTACTCACCTGATGTGGCCCCCAATGATTTTTTTATTTAACTGAAAGTAAAGGAAATATGGGAAGGAAGACATATTGAAGACATTCAAGACATCAAGGGTATTATGATGACAGCTGTGATGTCCATTCCAGAAAAAGAGTTCCAAAATTGCTTGGAAAGGTGGACTAAGCACTAGTATTGATGCATAGCTTCCCAAGGTGAGTACTTTGAAGGTGACCAAAGTGGTAGTCAGCAATGAGGTATGTAGCACTTTTTCTAGGATGAGTTCATGAACTTAATTGTCAGACCTTGTCTGTTGATGGCCTACCCTCAGTACCTCAGAATGTAACTTTATTTGGAGAAAGGTAAATGGATATGAAGTAATTAAGGTTAAATGAAGTCTTTAGGGTGAGCCTAATTCCACATGACTGGTGTCTTCATAAGAAGAGATTAGACCACAGGTAAACATGGATGGGAGATATGACAGAAAAAGCAAGAAGGCAGCAATCTCCAAGTCAAGGAGAGAGGCCTCAGAAGAACCCAAACCTGCCAACACCTTGATCTCAGACTTCCAGCCTCCAGAACTGTGAGAAAATAAATGGCTGTGGTATTTTATTATGGTAGCCCAAACAAATTAATCCAGAAATTCTCACCAATTCTGCCACCCTTCCTTTAGGGATTGCTCTGAATCACATTGAGATAGCTCCATAGCCTCACCAGAATGGCTGAAGTGGAAAAACATGACTTGATGGGTGGTAAGGATGGGCACTGTGGAAGGCAGAGTAGGGTCCCTGCCCCAGTGATGTCTGTACCCTAATCCACAGAACCTATGACTGTTACTGCACTGGCAAGAGCCTCTTCATGTGTCATTAAGTTAAGGATTGAGATGAGGAGATTATCTTGAGTTATCTGGGTGGATCCACTGTTTTGACATGAACTATTTTTTTGAGACTGAGTCTCACCTTGTTGCCCTTGGATGAGTGCCCTGGCGTCATAGCTCACAGTAACCTCAAACTCTTGGGTTCAAGCAATTTTCTTGCCTCAGCCTTCCAAGCAGCTGGGACTAAAGGCATCAGCCACAACACCCAGCTAATTTTAGAGATGGGGTCTCACTCTTGCTCGGGGTGGTCTTGAACCTGTGCGCTCAGGCAATCCATCCTCCTCGGCCTCCCAGAATACTGGGATTACAGGCATAAGCCACTGCACCCAGCCTTGTGCCCAGACTTTTAAACTATAGAAACTGTGCGGTAATAAACGTGTGTTGTTTTAAGCCAATAAGTGATAGGAAACTAACACGGGGGCAATTGGCCATTGCCTACTCTCCTGTAGGTGTGTGAACTGAAGCAACTACAGCATCTGTTAAAGCTTCAGGGTTGTCTACCTGTGCCTGGACATTGCCACACCCAACAGAAATGTGTTCACATGTCCTCAAAAGACACGGCAGCTGCTCCATACACTCTTTCTTGGAAGCCTCCTCAAATACCCTATCCCAGCTGGAATGGATGAAGAAGTCATGGCCTATCCACATGGTGGGATCCTAGCACACAAGAGAACAAGACAGCTACAACTACACACAGCAACTGGGGAAATCTCACAAACCATGAGGAAACAGGGAGACACAAAAGGACACTTCCCATGTGATTCCTCTTATGGGAGGCTAAAAATTAAGGAAAATCCACTGATGCCAACAGAAGCTGAGATGGTGACAATGGAGTAGGAAAATGACCGTAAGGGGCACCAGAGTCTTCTTGGGGCAGATCACGCTCTGTTTCTCCATGGATAGGGGGGCCAGGGATACTGAGTATTTTCAGTGAGAATTACTCAGACTTCACACTTCTGATCCATGCATTTAGCTGTATAGTTCAATAAACATTTAGATAAAAGCACTTGTAAGAACAGCTTTCTGGCCAGCATTCCCTTGTTCAAAGTCCAGAGAAGGCTGGAGATTGTGCAACCACTCAGTGGGTTGGGAATGTGTGAGGCCCCTCAGGATTCAGCCTCTGCAAGTCTTCACCTATTTGGTCTGCAAACTGTCCCTCAGGGCAGGAGCTGCAGTCAAAACAGCAGTGGGGGAACCTGGTCAGGGGATCTGGCTGAATCCTGGAGCACAACTCCTATTGCAGACAGAGCTGGGGACCTGAGGATGGACCAGCAGGGATGTTACCCCCACCCCCCCACCCCCGTCAATGGTGTCCCACTTTACCAGTGTTAAAATCTGGTCACCTTATGCAAAGGACTTTTGCATCACCATCTGACTTAAGGGTCTCCACAGCACTGTAAGGACCATTATTTTGTTCTATTTTAAGATAAGCTTATTGAGATTCATATATGGAAGTAGGGCTGTAAAATAAAATGGAGGAGGCCCAGTTGAATTTGAATTTCAGATGAAATGATGTCTCCTTTTAGTATATTTTCATGCAATATTTGGGGCATACTCTTCAGAGTTAACCAGACACCCTGTATTTGCTGCCTAGAGCAACCCCACATGCATGTGCCTCACCTGAGGTCAGACAGCCAGTGTGGACTTGGACTCTTTGTACAGTGCTCCTGCTAGATGCTCAGGGCTGTGAGCATAAGGCATCCTCCCTGCAGAGTGCTGCCTCTGTTTTACATCCATAGCTTGGACCAAGTGAATGCCTGACACTAGTACCTTCCCTGAAACATCCACTGCCCACATTTCTCTCTCACTTTCCAGGGCTGGAAGTGCCAAATGTTTGCATATGCCTTGTCCTCCTGCTCACAGGCCACCATGTCCTGCAGGGAATGGGTGATGCTGTAAACTGCTGAGTATGCAATGTCCGCTCAACTCACTTTCTAGAAAGGGCGCTCCTGGCTTCTCAGACTCTCCTTCCTTCAGCAAAAATGTCCCCTACCACCGTGCTGTTTCCTGCTGGCCAGGTGTATCCAAAGGTGGCCTCTCAGAACCTCTTTGGGAACATGTCTTATGGGGTCCTGGTGGGGTGCAGGTGAGAGAGGAACTCAGGGAACCCCAGGGCCTGGCTGCGGTGCTGCAGAAGGCTGAAGGAGCTCTGTAGGACCTGGGACACTCCTGGCGTGGTCAGGTCCAGCCCTGTGTGCAGAATGTCCTGGCTGACCCAGACCTGGCCCGAGATGCCACATTTCAAGGTGCTACAAGATGTCCTGGAAATTCGAGTTGCTCAGGAAGACCAACATGATGGTGGCTGTGCCCTTCTCCATCTTGTGGACCATAGTGTTGATCTTCTCCAGGGACAACAGGGATGGGACATGAAAGTGGAACTCGATGCTGCTCTGCTGTCCAAAGTCATCATCCTGAACCAGAATGCCCACCCAGGACCATCAGAAGTGAAGCAACAGCTGGGCCAGAGCATTGGAGAATGTGAAGTCACTGGCCAGGGTCTGAAGGAAGAATGGGAACTGGGTTTTGTCACTGAGGCTGACCAGGCTGGATGACTAGATGACCTGCGTAGAACTGGACGAGGGCGGCAGGGGAGGGTGAGAACCAGGAGGTCAGGTACTACATGGCTGACAGTCAGGCTGCAAGGAGGGAAGATGAGCAGAGTGAGGGTGACCCCTCAACCAGAATGTCCTGGACAGATTCCCCTTTTGCCACTGAAAGTCCCACGTCCCTCGAACACCCCCAGGGGCAGAAGGGGTCAGCCTGGGCCTGAAGGCCTCTCAGGTGTGGCTGTTGGCTGGCCCAGCCCCTGGACTCCAGTGCCAGCCTGCAGCCTCCTCAAGGTGCTGACTCTGTGACCAGGGTGGGCCATGTCAGTAGCTGACACCTTCCCACTGATGCTGATTCCAGGTCCACATTGTTTTTTGTTTTTGTTTTTGAGACAGAGCCTCGAGCTGTCGCCCTGGGTAGAGTGCTGTGGCATCACAGCTTACAGCAACCTCCAACTCCTGGGCTCAAGCGATTCTCCTGCCTCCGCCTCCCAAGTAGCTGGGACTATAGGTGCCTGCCACAACGCCTGGCTATTTTTTGGTTGCAGCCATCATTGTTGTTTGGCGGGCCCAGGCTGGATTCAAACCTGCCAGCTCAAGTGTATGTGGCTGGCGCCTTAGCCACTTGAGCCACAGGTGCTGAGCCCCCAGGCTGGATTTGAACCTGCCAGCTCTAGTATATGTGGCTGACACCTTAGCCGCTTGAGCTACAGGCACTGAGCTAGTTGTGTGGGGGTTTTTTTTGTTTTTGTTTTTTAGTATAGAAGGGTCTCCGTCTTGCTCAGGCTATTCTGAAACTACTAAACTGAAGTGACCGTCCTACCTAGGCCTCCCACAGTGCTGGGATTACAAGCCTGAGCCACCCGGCCCAGCTTCAGGTCCATACTATAGAGTAGACAGGTCTTTTTCAAAATACAGACGGGGAGGCCAGGCGCCATGGCTCACGCCTGTAGTCCTAGCACAATGGGAGGCCAAGGCTGATGAGCTGCTTGAGTTCACGGTTGGAGACCAGTCTGAAGAACAGGGAGACCCCATCTCTAAACATACCACGGTGTTGTGGCTTGTGCCTGTAATTCCAGCGACTTGGGAGGCTGAGGCAAGAGAATCACTTAAGCCCAAGAGTTTGAGGTTGCTGTGCGCTGTGACGCCACAGCACTCTACTGAGGGTGACAAAGTGAGATTCTGTCTCCAAAATAAATAAATAAATAATAAATGCAGACGCTGGAACCAGCTCCACCCTCTAGTTGTCTCATCCAGTGGAATAAACTTTGTCTTGGGTACATCCCCTATCGCAGGAGTGTTTACAGGAGACTTTCTGGGAAAGATGCTCCTCGCACCTGCCCGCCAAGCCCAGACTCCCTCTCGCCTGCACCGGAACGCGGGGCACCCCGCTCCCCATTTGCCCCTCAGTCCCTCCTCCCGCCGCGCCTTGTGTTTGTTCCCGTCAGTTTTGGACCCTGCCCTGGTCTGATGGGGACAAGGACTCCTTCGGCGCGGGGTCGCTAAGGCGTTTAGTGACAGGGTCCGGAGGGCAGCGTCGGTCGGTCGGTCGGACCATCGAAGAAGAGACGGCTCGGTGCTCCCGAGGCAAAGCGGCTCCTCCGAGTCTGGCCGCTGCTCCGCGGCATCTGCAGGGACTAAGGTCCCGCCTGTCATGTGCCGAGCGTACTGCGACCGCTAGGGGACGGGGTTGGGCGAGGACGCGGGCGCCGCTGGGGTACTCCCAGTGACAGGGCGGCCGATTTCGGAAATGAAAATACAGAAACCCGGGCTACAGATGAACTTCAGGTAAATGTTTTAGTGTAGTCCGTCTCGTGAAATATTTGGAACAAACTTAGATGAAAAAAAGTATTCATTGTTTATCTGAAATCCTAATTTATTTGGGGGTCCTGTATTTTATCTGGCAATGCTAAATGTACAGAAAACAAAAGTTTCTTGAGCTACGAAAAGAAATGCTGTTTCTAGGCCCAGCACAGTGTCTCCCACCTGTAATCCCAGCACCCTGGGAGGCCGAGGTGGGTGGATTGCTTAAATTCAGGAGTTCAGGGCAGCTCCCGTTGAAGTTCAGTGGGTAGGGTGCCAGCCTGGCCAGCTAAACAACCACAATTACAACCAAAAAACAGCTGGGTGTTGTGGCAGGAGCCTGTAGTTCCAGCTACTTGGGAGGCAAGACAGGAGAATTGCTTAAGCCCAAGAGTTTGAGGTTGCTGTGATGTGATGGCATCCTACAGAGGGTGACATAGTGAGACTCTGTCTCAAAAAAAACCAAAAAACACCTCAGGAGTTCAAGACCAACCTGACCAAGAGTGAGACTGGTCTCTACTAAAAACAGAAAAACTACGCTCAGGTCCTGTAGTTCAGTGAGTGGGGCATTGGCCACATACACCAAGGCTGGCAGGTTCGAGCCTGGCCTGAGCCTGCTGGGCAACAATGACAACCAAAAAGTGGCTGGGCATTGTGGCTGGCGCCCATGGTCCTGGCTGCTTGGGAGGCTGAGGGAGGAGAATTGCTTAGGCCTGAGAGTTTGAGGTTGTTATTAGCTGTGATGCCATAGCACTCTACCCAGGGCCATAGCTTGAGATTCTGTTCCCCTCCCCCTGCAAAAAAAAAGGGGAAGGGGAAAAAAAAGCAAAACTAGCTAGGCATGATGGCATCTGTATTCTCAGCTACAGCTGAGGCAAGAGGACTGTTTGAACCCAGGAGTTTGAGGTTGCTGTGAGCTAAGACACCAGGGCACTCAACCCAGTGGAACAGAATGAGACTCTCTGGGAAAAAAAAAAAAGAAAAGAAAAGAAAAGAAAGAAATATTGTTTCCAATCCTTACAATGTGATCAAATATAAAAGGACAAAGACAGAAACCTCCAGCTCAGAAGCATTTTAGGTACGAATTCAAGTTGGAGGTAACTGGAGTGAATCATTGGGTAAACCAGGCTGGTCTGATCATTTGGTTATTTGACAGCAATGTGGTTATCTGCAGAGGTTCTTTTCTTTTTTTTCTTTTCTTTTTTCTTTTTCTTCTTTTCTTTTTTTTT